GAGTTCCTAAATCACCTACTACCTCTGAGTAGCCACAGTATATTTTGTAGAAGCCTTACGTCAACATCCGTGAAGAAACGAATTCTCCAGGAATGTCGGTTCGATTACTCTATTTTCTAGGGTTTTCCATCGAGTACCTTTGCTTTCCTCTGAGGTCGACTAGGGCTAGAATGTCAGCCTCAGGGTTGTTACTTTGAATCTGCAACAGTAAAGTTGACCAATCGACATATGGTGCGGACCATTCGTAATAGCCAACGCACACATGCTGGGAATTCATCATTTAATATTTTATGAAAGCCCTAGATATCATAAAGAAGATGTAGTTCCTACTTGGTTGGCTGTCCTGTCCTTCTGAATTTCTGAATTACTTACTACATCTGAGTGACCGTAACAGATCGTGTTGTAGGGACACCACAATCGAAGTCTTTCAACGTATGTAACCTGGTCAAGTTTGGTCCTATCAGCACCAGGACTGGTGAATTCGGCAAGTAGTCTCAGTGTGCTTCCGAATAACATTTCTGAAGCTGAATAGTGAGCAGAAGTTTTTGTTGATACCCAAGCACTACCATTAGTAAGAATTCCTACCACTGAGTGAGGTTAGAGTGAGATGTCAACGTAGCCTTTAAATGTTGACGAAAGCGTCTTATCGACCAGTCAGCTTGAAGGTGATGTGCTGTGCAGCGGATTCTGTGTGATCACAAGAACTTCAACAAGCTGTTGAAAAGCTCTGACTTCAGTTGAGCTCCTCTGTCAGTTGTTGTTCGCATGAAACCCCGAGCATGGCAACTTGGTGTCTAAGATAGGCTTTGCTACCGTTTCCGCGGTAGTACCAGGAGGTGTTGCAGATACTGGGAACCAGCTGTGCTGGTCGGTGCATGTAAATAGGTAAGTGAGTCAGCTTGAGTGCGGGACATACCGAGTCCACACCATTTCACACTACTGTATGAACTTCTACTGTTCCGCTGCTATATAAAAAGGATCTCCCTTTAAGTCTGAATTCATTTGTCCCTGGCGAGAGTGGCGAATATACCACGGCCAAAAATGACCTCGAACCAACCAGTCAGATCGCCCCACATTGCAAAAGGGTGTTTTCATAGTCTTTGCCGCAAGTTTCATCCTAATTTTAGCTTGGGGTTTTGGCTGAGGTTAGTTTCGTGGTATGGTTAGATTAAGATTTGGTTTAGGTAAGGCTTGTAGGAGACTTTCTAGAGAACTCAGTAACGGAACAAATATTTGAAGAAAAATCCAAGTTTTGAGATGATCGTGTAACAGCATATTATGAAAAACACAGTAATGATTTGTATTAATTAGTCGGTTACTTGGTTATACATTTAAAGTCCACGGCTACAAATTATTAATATAATCCACAAGCGTTCATTGCTGGAGTCGTGTCTACTGGTAGAAGCTGTGTACCGGCTGCGAAAATCCGAAGTATATTGTGTGGTTATGAGTGAAGCAAGCAGACAGTATAGACTAGTGAGAAGACGAAACGGCCAGCAGTACACTGTATTTCAGATTGTACTCAGAAGTTATCTGTATTCCAACATGAATCGCTTTAAACAAAAGTAACTGCAGTTAAGGGTGGGGTGAAGCTTGCAACAAGAATTACGAACAGCAACCACTTAAAATGCCGAACGCTGTGGCTATCGTCATCAGTACATATTCATCATGAAGTCAACCATCCATCAGGACTAGTGGATTCTAAAACTTGTACTCGTACAAGTTCTCTTGAAGGAGTTGAGCATGTCGAAAAGACGAATTTGAATGGTACATGTCTATAGGCCTTCCTTCTAAAAATTGGAACCTGTTGTTGTGGCATACTAGAAGAATATACACTGCATAATTCATGTGTATTATGTATATGTATCCAACTACGATTAGCGAGGAGGACGCCAATGAATTGCGTAACGTAGTCTCTCGCAAAAAACGAGATAAGAACAACACATCGGCTACACTGCCCACGAAGGACAAAAAGACATTTATGCCGCAGATCAAGAAAGCCATGGCAAGCAAACCTAATCACTCCGACAGGTCTCTGATTCTCCACAAAGTGGAAGGGTCACTGTCCCCCGATCCCAAGGCCAGATTCGAGCATGATCTTAGCTTGGTCAAGCTTCTATTAGGATGTAATTATCATCACAGAGAGATCGCTGCCACCCGATGTCACTGACAACGAAGTTAACGTGCCAAACTTCGAAGTGCATAGGGTGGATCGACTAAACCGCAAAGGAGGTGGCGTAGTCATCTGCCTCAAGAAATGCTTAACCGTAAGTAGCATCGAAGTACTCACTCACGAAAGTAAATCGTTCGAACCTCTACGCTGCAGACTTAAATGCATGGGTCAAGACATTGACCAAATTGCTATATACCGCAGTCCTGACTGCAGTGCAGATGACTTCCTAATAGAGAAGCTAAGCTCCTGGACTTCGAAATGTCGGAGTCTCGTAGTCAGCAACTTCAACGACCGAACTATTGACTGGACGAGACTCACAACTCCATCTTCGGTCAACTCCTTTCATCATAAACTGCTGGAATCTAGTATATCGCTAGCCCTAGTCCAACACATCATTAAGCCCACGCGCTATGACTCACAGCACTCCTCCTCAACTCTGGACCTAGTGTTCTCCCACGGTGAGGTTGTGGATCTCATGCATCTTCCTTCTTTAGGAAGAAGTGATCATGCTGTGCTCACTTACAGGTTCACAGCAACGGAAGCAAGGGCCAAAACCCCAGCTCGACTGAACGTTTGGAAAGCTTATATAAATGCAATCGTCCCAGCAGCCAACCCAGAGTCAGAAGCAGAAGCTGCATGGAACCAATTTAAACAACTTTAGGCCCAAGTAACTGAACCTTTCATCCCTTGCTCTGTCCCAAAGGGTCGAAAACATTGCTCCCTTAGGATAAACCGAGAGATTCGTACGTTACTCAGACGTAAACACAAATGTTGAAACCTGTTTGCCACACTTGAGACTTCTGAGACCAGGCAATTATATAACACTGCTAGAAATAAAGCTATTGCAGAAATCCGCCAATCAAGGATGAAGTTCGAAGCACACCTGGCTCAGAATGCAAAGACACAACTTAAGAAAATTTTCTCATACATGAACTTCAGGAATAAAACATCCAATGGTGTCCCAAAACTGACTATTGACAATGATACAATCGAAGAAGATCAAGAAAAAGCAGAAGCAATGGCAAACTACTTCTCCCAAGTCTTCACTCAGGAGTCATCACTGCCTGTAGGATCAGCTCTGGCTGCATCAGAAGAACATGGGATAGATTCTGTTGATATCAACCAAGGCATCGTGCTCAACTGCCTAATGAAACTAGATGCAGGGGAATCAGTGGGTCTTGATAATCTTCATCCAAGGCTTCTCAAGGAGCTATCAGCTCACATAGCCGGCCCTTTGACCACGATCTCCAAGCTATCTCTCCTAAATGGAGTGTTGCCGCGTGACTGGAAAGACCCCATAGTAACCCCCATCCACAAAAGATGATCAAGACAAAGCCCTTCAAATTACAGGCCTATCAGTCTCACCAGCACTTTAATCAGGACACTAGAAAGAATCGTCAAGAAAAGCATCATGGCATATCTGGAAAATAGCAGCTTATTATCTAGAGCACAGCATGGCTTCCAAAGGAACCTCCCATGCCTGTCAAATCTGGGTCAAATCCAGGGACAACAGAAGACCCGTTGACGTCGTCTTCACAGACTTCAGCAAAGCCTTTGATAAAATAACTCACAAAAGACTACTCATGAAGTTGGAAAGTCTTGGTATCAAAGGCAGCTTACCAAACTGGCTCAGGGAATTCCTTATAGATAGGAGGCAGAGGGTTAGGATCAACTCGAAACTCTCCTCTTGGACAGCAGTGCGTAGCGGAGTGCCACAAGGCACGGTACTCGGACCTCTCCTATTTGTTTTGTATATCAATGAGTTATCTCTGCTCACCGACTCCCCTATGGTCCTATACGCAGATGACTTAAAAATTTGGAGAGAGCTGAAGGGCAACAGTGACACGTCCACGTTGCAAGAGGACCTCAACAAACTGTCGGAGTGGTCCATAGAATGGATGATCCCGATCAATGTGGCAAAATGTGCAACCATGTGCATTTGACAAGCAGGCACCAGTTCGTACGAACTAGAGGGAATAACACTTCCATCAGTTCAGACTCATTTGAACTTGGGTGTCATAGTAAGCCACGATTTAAAAACTACAGCACACTGTCGCGCGGTGGCTGCACGTAGTTTCAGATCCTTATGAGCAATTCGCAGGGCCTCAACTAAAATCACCAGAGATATGTTCACCTCCTTACATACATCTCTGGTGAGGTCAAGACTGAAAACTGCATCCAGGCAGCCAATCCTCGTCTTAAAGGGGACACATACTCTAGAAAGGGTCCAAAGGAAGGCAACACATATGGTTCACGGCATGAATAACTTATCATACGAGGAAAGACTTGACAGTTTAAATCTCTTCTCCCTGTCATACCGTAGGCAGAGAGGAGATTTAATTACAATGTTTTAAATGTGGCACAGTGGTTAGGACTCTCGACGACCATGCACATGGTCCGGGGTTCGATTCCCCGCCGACTCACACCTGATATCTATGGTCGGCCTGCGAAATTTGGGCTACCGATATCCATGCTGAAAATTCCATACTTGTACTGAAAATACGTGTGGCATCAAGCTGTAATCAAAATAATAAATAAAAATAATAAATAAAATAATGACTACTGACCAAACCTATTCTCACTTTTCCTTCCCACCAGATCGGAACACCTTAGAGGACATAGCAGGAGAGTTCAAAAGGCAAAAAGAAATCATATTTCTGTTGAGTACCGGTTCTCACATAGAGTTATAAACTCTTGGAACCGACTCCCAGAAGAAGTGGTGTCTGCAACCTCAACTGATTCATTCAAGAAGGATTTGGACAACCACAGAAATTTACTAGAAAAGGATTAACATAGGCTCCAAGCCTTCTATCCTCAACCAATAAATCTAAATCTGAAGCCGCCACATTCCACGGGGAGAATAGAACTGGTTTTTTCAAGGCCGTTTCGCCGTGGTTTTTGTCCTCTACTCTTGACAGCCAATATCGACTGAAAGCTGTCTGTAGTAATTTTCCTACGTTCGGCATCAGACATGCTAAATCCAAAGATTACGTTTAACAATAGGTGTGTTGTTTGTTTTCCTTGACAATGGACTCTAGTGGGTTCGCTTTCCATACAATCCAAGAGAGGTGGCCGAAAATCTTAACCCAGTTGATTGACTCTATCTACAGAAACCGTGAGAAATACTGCAAAAATGCTGATGATGTTAGTCACTTTATTTTTAAATAACATGTTTTTAGGACACATCAAATAAGTTAAAGGAACTGACACGACATGTTGGCCAGTTGAGATATGAAATAATGACAAATAAACCTCTAACTCTTCTGTTATCAGCTCCTTTTAGTCCTTCAGAACTGCAAGTGTGGAACCAAGTGCTATCGAGTTATGGGATGGGGACTGAGCCGTGTGAAAACGCACAGTGTCAGACGTTGCTTGTGTGCTGGTACGATCTACCATTCCTTTTCGCTGAATGCTACTTATACCGACGTATCGTGGATGCTGTATTTCAAAGGTAATTCGAAATTAAGAGTCTGCCTGATCTTTAGTGGTCTCAATGATTTTGACCCATTTTTCTTGAAAAAGCAGTGCGGTCTCAAGAACTCTGGACCTTTCATAAGCTCTCTTCTTTTGAGTTTATCAAGACTTCATGATTTACCTTCCAAACAGGCGTTCGATTTCTTTTTGCACGTGGGTTTCGTGGGAATTCTGAGTTTTAACTAATTTCGTTAGAACTGTTTATTTAGTTGGCAAGAAAGTTTTAAAACAAGGGAACTTGGTTTCACAGGTTTAGTCCTGTCTGATTAATTGTGACTCTTGCAGACACATAAATCCAGTTATATGCTGAGTTTTTCATCCTTGAAGCTTTGTGTTGCGTAGCGTTAGTTTATTCATTAATAGTTCCATTTCACGACTACCTTACACTGGTATTATTATCATTATTATCAATGTATGAATGCAAACCTCTTACAGTATGGACACTAAGGTATGTGCAGTATGAAGCAACAATGTCTACAAGAGAAAAACAATAACATGCTAACATGCTAGAAAGTGTCCAGAGACGAGCGACAAAATGGGTGATCGGCCTCCGCAACAAATCATATGAGGAAAGACTGAAGGAATTAAGTCTTTTCACACTTAGTTACCGTAGTCACAGGGGAGACCTCATCACCGTCTATAAGATCTTTAATGACCAGGCCCACCCTAATAAGAGCATCCTGCCATTAAGTGATTATAGGCTTCCACGAGGTAACCCGCTAAGGATAGCACACCAGAGACCAAGGACTCGAGTGCGTTCACATTTCTCGCTTCGAGTTTGCCGTCTCTGGAACGCTTTACCGGCGGCCGTAACTACAGCTCCATCTGTGGAGACTTTTAAGCGGAAGCTGGACAATCATGCAGAAATGCATGGCTTGTGTCTCAATGGCTTACCCTCTTAAAATTTGAAACCACATTGTCAATGGATAAGCATACAAGCTAAATCCCCACGACCCGTCCTGTCTTCTCCCACTGTACCTACTACTCTATCTTTTCTTTCTTTCTTTCTTATTTCACTTATCTCAACCTATATTATCTACACTACAACCTATTATTATTATTATTATTATTATTATTATTATTATTATTATTACTATTATGCTTTTATGACTACACCGAATGACCAACGGGTGTTAGGTCAAACTCCATTCACGGCAGCAGCTGAGTCCTAACATACTGCACACTACAAACCACAATCTTGACCAATCCTCGCACCACTCCTCTTGGAGTCTACCAGAGCTAAAGCAGTCGAGTGGCGGGATTTACTACGCATAAGTTCACCGAAGATCTGGAACCTCTACCTTACAATCAAGAAGCGAGCTCAAAGAAATCACTGGTTTATACTAGCTCGTAATCAGGATATTGGATATTGGAGTGTAAGCACTCTCAAGAAGTGTGTTTACAAGAGCGTTTGTCACACTGTATAACCTTTCACAGTAGGCGATATCAAAATGCTTCCGTTCAATGGCCACTGACTGATTTTCTGAGTTGTATCGGTATCATTGACTACCATGGTCGTAATGAGTATATTCGGGGAGTTCCAGTACGTTGGCAGATACAAAACCAATACACCTGTCCTTCATCTCATATTTCCATGACATCGGTCGACCAGTTCGTCATCTTTTCTAACGAACCCTAAGGTTAGCAAATATCGGTTACACATTTCTAGTCTGGTGAGACGCTGCTTATCTTATTACAGTACCATTTTACTACTACTGGTGGTCCAGGTGGTTAGGCTCATTCTCATGTTGTAGACTCCAATCCCCAATAACATTTCGTAGAACTTTTGCAGTTCCATGCTCTAAATGTTTACATTAAATAGTTTGTCGAACTCATTGTTTCTTAGTTGAATGTTGTTAATATCCAAGCAGCTATATGAAGTCTTATAATGTTGGTCTATGCTCATTGATGAATTTATAGCCTCGGTTCAGTGTTTATTTACGATAATAAATGCAACTGTTTCATATTTATCTATCTATTTAAAACGACGGTAATTATGATAACGGATGGTCAGACTTTAAAACAGTTAGTCCAGTAAAAGTAACGTTTCAGTATGCCTGTAGTTGTAGTATGACTTTTTCATTTCCAGTCTGAAAGGCAAAACTGTAAATGAGAAGGATATAATTGTTAATTTCTTTCGGTTAAGCAATTTGCAATGTCTTATGCACACAAAACTAATGGTTTGTTTGACAACCGGTGTTAAGTGGGGTTTAACACAAACATAGTGTATAAAGTCAATGACTGTTGGTCCGAGCCTCATAGGTAGGCGTAGACTGATGTAGCTCGGGATCGTTCACTACTGTGCCATTCTGTTTGCTGCTTGTCATCTTCCAGGTCATGAAAATGTCATTAACCTTCGTTTAGTTATACTCTCCTCCTGCAATATTTGCCCACTATCATATTAATTTTCTCTACTTTTAATTGTTCCATCCCGAAGTGCGGTAAACTAAACTAATGTACTTTTATGTTAAGTCCTAAACTGATGTGCCAGTGAAGCTCCGTTCTCCTTTATAGATAAGAGACCTGGCCATTGAGAGCGAAAGATATGAAAAGGCTAGCTGTCTCTGATTATAGGTGCCTGCGCTGTATATCCCGTGTGAAATGGTATAATAGGGTGAGCAATATTGAGGTTAGGTGTCAGTCGAGTGCTAGGTAAGGCGGGGAAATCAATCGATAAGGCTGTGAAGCTACATCGACTGAGATGTGTAACGAATGCACGCCTAGACATCGCCTTCCTCGACGGGCAATGTTAGCTGACATAGGATCGGTGAGGTTGGAAAAGAGCCAGTGGTGGTAAAACCAAAACATGGCTTCATCAGTCAATGAAATCCACAACAGTTAGTTTAAGCCAGCCACGTCGGAAGGTGTAGACTTCCTGACTGGTTGGGGTACTCGGGATGGTAAAAACCAATGAAGGATGGAGACAATTGGTGATATGGCTAGAAATCTTCATGTCTGGTGCAGATGCATCCATTCCTTGTGACTTATAATTTCCAATAAAACTATATTGGTCTCCTGTATTACTATTCGTTTTGCCTCATATCTATGTTTAGTGTCTGTATTTTGCATTGCTTTTTACTTTTTCCCCTCGCTTTGTGTGTTAAATAAAGGGAGTGTGGCGACTCGAACTGCTGCACATTGGTGCAAAGTTCTATGTTGAACCCAGTCAGAAGCAAGCTGACTTTGATAAACTTGCTATTTATCAAACGCTTCAGATTTATGTTAGCCTAAAAGTATTAGTATGTAAATTCGAATCGCCCCTCTATTTCATTGTTTCTCGTTTAAGTAGTATGCTAATAGTTAGTCGTTAAAGATTATTATATTTACTGTATTGTATTTCTTCCAGTCATCTTTATGGGCGAACGAATATGATTTATCTCTCCGTCCTGATGGCGAATTTCAGCAAACTGGATTCGATCAAATTTCAGATTACATCAAGCATACTGAAGAGAAGACAATCGTAAATGATAAAGATGCAATTCATAAATTCTCTATGAACTTAATGAATCATAATCGTAAACTTCGTGTAGCTATCATACTTGATAATGCAGGTCCCGAGTTGATAGCGGATTTGTGTCTGGCTGAGTATTTTGTAGCAAGCAACTCTGCTGACAGTGTTTCATTTTATGGAAAATGTATGCCATGGTTTGTTTCAGACGTCACTCGTAGAGATTTTGATTGGTTATTGAATGTTAACCCCTTGGAATTAGAAGAAATTTGTAATGATCAACAAATTCATTCGATTATAAAATGGTCTGAAGTTTGGAGAAAGCGGGTTGAGGAGAGAACTTTTCAGTTTAAGACTTCTTCCTTCTGGACTATGCCTTATGCTTATGATGAGATGCAAACAGCTGATGCTACACTATATGAAGACCTATCAAAAAATTATGATTTAATTATATTCAAGGTAACTTATTTTAAAGTATGTTGATTATTCTTTAAAATATATTAAGTAGTCAAGAGCCTAAAGTCTCATAATGGTGCCCATCAATTCGAATCCTTGCAGTCCACGACGGTTATGAAAAGAGAAAATCAGCCAGGAGAGTTCAGTGGAAAGGGAATAGATGATAGATTTTAGGGAGTGTAAGGGTTTGTAGAAGACAGTATCATCGTGACAGATCATAATTCCTGTTGGTTTATGCCTTCTATTATGAATAAATACCATTACATGACTCAGGCTAAAGGCTATAAATCTCATAAGTTTATACCAAGGTAATGTATGGTTTACATCAGTCATTTTCGATTTCGTTGGTTTATTGTGTAGATAAGAATACGAAGGTGTGGAACTTAGGCTGTTTTAACAAGTTATTTTTTGATATTTATTTGATTCAATATAGAGTTGGCTAATTGACCATTCACATGGTCCGTGGTTCGATCCCCGGCCACCAACGCACTCCTTTACCTCGCTAAGCCAGAAATAAAGCTGGTTAAGAGGAAAGGTTGGGCATGAGGCTAGCAACCCCATCCTGTAAAAATAAACACTGCTACAGAAACTTCAAGCCTCTAGCTTGAAGCCGCCCTATGTTCCACTGGGAACATGAAGGAATAAAAAAAAGTAATATTAGTTATTGGATCCTGGGTGATAATACTTATTCATTCGATGAAGTCGAAAAATTTACCCTAGAAAAATCAATTAAAACACAAATTACGCAATATGAAATGTCGAGACTTAGACTATTTTATATGAAAACTATAATGAAAGATATGCCTGTACATTATCAACCTCTGTACTACTGATGCTTGATTTGAAATGTACCAGTTAACGTGTATCTCACATTTTTACTGAGGTTTATCATTTAAATTGAATGAACAAGGTGTCAGCCTTCAAACAACAAATATGATTAAACTAACAGCTTGATTGTTTGTTGTATTTTCACGTTTCGACTTAGTTCACAACCTTTTTTAAAATGAGCTGGCAGGATATTATCACCGCACTCGTGGTAGTCTTGTAAGAGGTTGTAAGCATTTACCATTCATATATGTTTTTATGAAGCTATGGTGTGTCGGTCTAACAGCCCTACTTTTATCTTGGTTCCTAAGTGCGTAATTCACAACACCTACAGCTAGGCAGTATCGTTAACTCTCTCTCTCTCTCTCTCTCTATATATATATATATATATATATATATATATATATATATATATAATGCTTTACTACACTTACTAACCATTCACCTTTGTTTTACTTGTAAAGTGATCTATAGACATTAGAATATGAGCACTTTGAAGGCGTTACTTACGTCTATTGGATGCGTGAAGTGAGTGAGCAATGTGAATAGAGCATAATTGTGACTGATTGTGTAAATGAAACGAAACTACTAAAACGGCTGCATATAAGGGACTTCTTACCTACGGTTTTGTTCTAATACTACTTTTATTAGCTTACTTCAGAATTTATTATCTGTCAAGGAAACAGGGACAACGCGTTTTTTAATTATTCTCACAATTTCACTTCATCTGTTTACAGGGCGACCTAAATTACCGTAAAATTGTTGGTGATCGTCAGTGGAAACCTGATAGCCCAGAGGATAAAGTTAATGCCTTCGGTCGAGTACAAATTGGTAGGCCATCAAGTTGTAAATGTTCAGAAAGGTTGGCAAATCTGAAACCTGGGAGCCCCATTGTCGATTGTTCATGTGGTCCAATGGTAGTATCTCTTCGAATAGCGAAATCAGATGTGGCTGTCGGTGTTAATCATGATTGTTTGGTTGAGTTACAAAATAAAAACAAAGACTGGTGGACTGTTGGACAATATGGTTTTATTCAAGTTGTTTCTCCGATTGCACACTGCACCTTATAAAGTAACTTGTGATAGGATCTCAACTGCCTTACCTTAACTTACCTTATGTTTTTAACCACAATATGAATCCTTTTATTTTTTCTTATAATTATAACAGAAAACTGATTATCCTGTTATCTTTATTCCTTTTGCGTTAATATTCATTAATATGCAAAACATGTTTTTTTAACGAAAAATGGTCTTCCTTTATATATCTATTGTCCAATATGTATAGGCATTAAGTCCCTATCCACTTAACAACACATTTTAAATTGGTGCTCAAAAGCTCTCATCCTCTCTTCACACGATCTTCTCCATGTCACCCTCGGACGCCTAACTCGTTGTCATCTTGGAATGTGTAAATTTAAAAGCAGCAACTGGACTTCTTAAAATCTGACATTCAACTCAAAATTGGACAAATCCATTTCGATAGTGTGTTCGTCGGTGGAACAGCGGTAGATTGCTTGCCAACCACTCATGTGGATCAGGGTTCGATCTCCGACCGATGTATTCCTTCACGTCGTTAAGCCAGTAAAAAGACTGATAAAGAGGGAAGGTTAGGCATAAGGCCAGCAACCCCATCCCGTAGAAGTAAACACAACTGCTATCGAAACTTCAAAGCTCTAGCTCGAAGCCAATGGGAACAAAAAGGAGTAAAATAAAATCAATAATTAATCAACTAAATAGATCGAACAACACAGTAATTATACCGTACATTAACACGATAAAATTCAAAGTTAAACAGATTGTTGTGGGAAAATCTCTACCCTTTGTTATGATCGGATGAAATGCAAAAGATAAGGAAAATGCGTACCAAATATTTGAGCAATTTTCATATCAGCCTCACTTCATAAATATATGTGACAAAGTCTGGTGCTGATGCATCCACGATCAGATATCGACCGTTGTAGAACCTTAAACATACAAGAGATATGATTCACAGTAGGAAGGGATTCTCAAAAATGTTCAAGATGTTTCACCCGTAGAAATTTGAGAATATATCCATTCTATTATAGACACAACATAAGTAAAAGATATAATGATGACGAAAGTTATGTTTATGCTTCGAAAAAGTAATCTGGTTTTTAATTAAGGTTGATTTTACCAGTTCATGGTGAGATGTGTGTGTGTGTGTGCTGTATCTAAGTCAAACTCTGTCTTAATCCGTCATTCCTATTCAGACAATTTGAATTCTATTTAATATGAAGTGTTTCTGATATGAGGCTTTCTTTGTAATTCTTGAAATCTTTCTCAATGATTTCAATATTACTAAGATCAAAAAGAATAGTAACATGGAAGAATAATAGAGCTTTATGGGATATTTTAAATCACAAAGAGTGAATGCATCTGCGCCAGACATTGAGAACGACGATTTCGAGCCATATCACAAATTTTCTCCATCCTTCATTGGTTTTTACCATCCCGAGGACCCTAACCAGTCAGGAAGTCTACACCTCGTGACTTCGCTGGCTGACTGGCTTAAACTAACTGTTGTGGATTTCATTGACTGACGAAGCCATGTTTTGGTTTGACCACTACTAACTAACACTTTTCCAACCTGATCCATTCCATGTCAGCAGCTAACATTGCGGGTCGAGGAAGGCGACTGATTGCTAGGCATGCATTCATAACACATATCCTAACCATATCAATCAGTGTAACTTCACAACCTCGTTGATTGATTTCCCCTCCTAACGCCTAACCTCAATATTGCTCACCCTATTATACCACTTAACATGGGATATAGAACGCAGGCACCTATGATCAAAGACAGCTAGTCTTTTCATGTCTTTCGCTCTCAATGGCCAGGTCTCATAGCCATAAAGGAAGACGGAGGGGACTGCGGAGCAGTCCAGATATCACGTCTACGCCAGAGGCGCCGTAAGTTGGTATATGCCAAACGAACCTTCTATATCTGTGCTGAAATTTCGTCAGCGATCAACCCATTGGGTCTGTTGCAACTAGTACTGTTGAGACCAGTTTAGAGTTATGTTAGTTAAATTACTGAATCATGAAGTCTGAATGTCATTTTAAGGGACACCACAAAATCTTGTCCCTGATGGAAGTTTGAACGGCTTTAAAATATCTGCCGAACTATATTTTTCTATCTGATATGTAACAGAAAGCAGGCCACACCTTCGATTTTCTGAACATGTACCAAAAAATGCTTATGTCTCATGGGAACAAACGTTTACAGTATTGCTATTGCCAGACATCTAGTCGATATGGGTGATGAGATGGACACCAGGAACTACTTTAAAATTATCAACAGACAAAACAAATCAATTCTCAAATTTGCCGGAGCAGACACTTGAAGTTGGATTTATGTGTTCAGGAAGAAGCACCCTAGAAACTGGATGTTTTTACACTGTCTTCTGTTTGATTACATAATCTGTCGATTGAACTACTCCTCCTACGCTAAAATACAACTTTATTTGTTTCTGTAATTTGAGTTGAGCTTAACAAGCTGTTACTCAATTTGTTAGTTACTCATCATCATCTTATCCACCTGTCTGTCTTTACTCCGGAACTCTTTTGCCATTGTATCCAAGCCTTTATTTTTTGTTTAAACTTGAACCTTTTGTGTATAAGCCATATAAGTGTAATTTCCGAGCACTGGCTTTTTAAGCCTGAACTCTCTTGTTACTTGATACTACTTAATATTTGCAAGTATGTTAAAATTCTTCTGTACATAAAATTAATAATTTATTTAAGTTGTACTCAGCTGATAAGAAGCCGATAAAATAAACTATAGTGCCATTTTATTCTGCACAAACCGTTGTTCTTGCTTTATTCAAATTCATAAAGAGGACAGGGCGTATAGGAAACTTAATAGCCAGCTCGGTAACGGAACCAATATTAGAATAAAAATCCAAGTTAATGAAATGATGATGTATTATAAGAAATACAGTTAACGAGTTATATAAATTAATGATTATTTGGTAACGCAGTTAAAGTCCGCTGCTATAAATTATTAATATAATCCACAATGGTGTTCATTGCTGGAGTCGTCTCTACCAGTGTGGTGTGAGTTGGACGCAAGCCAAAATTGTAGACAACAATTCACGTCCTGAATCAGGGTCATGAGAAAAACAATAACAAAGCTTAACCTTGAGAAAACCACCATCCAATCACAGCGGAGTTAACGTGTAGAAATGTGATTCGCAGATATATGGCTTGATTTTCTGAGAAACGGCCACAAAGCAATAACAGAATAACCTTCAGCAAGTAAACAACCAATCAAAAGAAGTTGATTCTCCGCTAACAATAATGTACATAAAAATCTATGTATACCTCTTGATTTTCTCCATAAAAGATCTGTTACCTGGCCTTTGTCTTCTGTCGTTACATTAGTAGAAGCTGTGCACCAGTTGTAGAATAGTCTTCGGATGAGAATGAGAGGTTTCTACAGAATACAACACGGTTTGTAATGAAGTAAGTATACGGTATGGACCAGTGGGAAGACGAAGCGTCGAGCAGCACACTGTAGACTGTACTCCAAAGTTATGTATATGTTTCACAATGAATCGTTTTAAACAAAAGTTGTGTACAATGTTCCCATTTTTTTAACCTCTAACAAAAACTGTACAATCATATTGTACCAGACTCCACAGGCGTATGGTATGTAACAGATAAACATGAATACTACATGTTTCATCTACGCAATATGATAATGTTTCATACTATTAATGGATCCCTTCCTTCTAACTAGTGTAACGACAGAAGACAAGAATCAAGCAACAGATCCTTTATTAGGGAAATCAAGAGATATTTATATATTTTTATGTACATTATTATTTGTTATTGTTAACAGAGAAACAGCGTCTTCTGATTGGTTGTTTTCCTGCTGAAGGTTATCCTGTCATCTCTTTGTGGTCGTTTCTTTGAAGGTCAGACCATATATCTGCGAATCGTATCCATCCACGCAAATCTGCCGTGATTGATTGTTGAGTTAGTCTTTGTTCTTGTTTTTTTTCTGATGAACAAGTTATGGGACGTAAACATTGACGTAAATTGCTGTCTACCAATTTTGGCAAGCAGACAGCTCTCACCACACTAGTACTCACCAGTTGTAGACTCATCCAGAATAATGAAATATTAGAAATAATCGGAGTATTCTGTAATTATGATAACTTTGAAAACAATTCACTTGGCCTCTTCTTGTTGTTGTTGATTTAATTAATTGTTATCAGAATATTACTCATGCCCAAAAATATTGTAAAATAAATTGTCACACCGAATTAACATCTTTAACTTGGTGAACCTCACAGATAATTTTCACTCTCAACGTTTACGTAACCTTTCAGTGTGCATATCTTTCCTGTAGTAAAACAGTATAGTTAAAAGTAAATTCTAGTAGGGCTTTCTCAAACAGTACACTTCAAATAGCTAATAAAATGTATCGTATACAATGTACTCGTTATTGCCTCTTCAATGGGATCATAGTTTAACTTTTATCCTAACATGATTGTATTGAAACGTTGGTGCTTCTAGGTAATAAAGTATATTGTGAATCATTTGGTAACGTGTTTTAGAAATACTTTACACTGTTAGGTATTTCATTTATCTTTTTGAATTTGAAATATTGATCGTAGTTTACCATTTTGGATAGATTAAGTCTTGTTTTTCTCGAACATGGGAATAGTACTCAAATTGGCAAATTAATTATCCTAGATACTATTGTGGTGAGAGCTGGCTGCTAGCCAAAGTTGGTAGACAGTAATTGACGTCAATGTTTATGTCCCCAATATTGGTGATGAGAAAATGAGAACAAAGGCTTTGCCTAGGCGGATACAGTTAGCATATGGATGATCTGACACAGTCACAAAGAGATGCAAGGTTAACTTTCTGTGAGAAACAACCAATCAAAAGACTGTATTTTCTACTGACAATAATGTACATTAAAATCTATAAATATGTGTTGATTTTCCTTAATAAACGATCTGTTGCCTGGCCCTTGTCTTCTGTTGTTACACTATGAAAATATTTCGCCGATTCATTTAGTGACTTACACGATTAAGTTGACCGACAAGATATAGCAGTATCGTATAGATGTGTAACAGTAGAAAACCAGACAGTCGGTAAGAGAATATGTTTTTGCAATTTGGTGTCTCTGTATAGGCAAATTATGTACACCTTATCTTCAATGCACCATTTGCACAGATGATCTTCCATGTTGTGCTACTTCTGCCCTTCCTTCATATTGTGTTTCTTCTTTGTGTTCTTGTCCCGTATCTCTGTGAGGCTGTATTATTTGCTTTCTCTGACATCAAATGTATCTCTATGCTATTTGACGTTTTTTAATCTCTTTATATATACTACTGATAAATCGTGTCAATATAGTACACGCCACTGATGCGAATTGATAGGAAGTGGTCAGAAGTGAAGCTAACATTTTAAGTCGATGGTTGCAGAGGTAAGAGTGTTCATTCCTCAAATCTGGATCTAGTTTACGATATGGACGTGAAATAAAATTCTTTTTGGACAACTTTTCGTTTCACTGTTTAACCCCTGACTTAGCCGAATATTAATGTGTATAAATATGATGCGTTTTTCTTTTTCTTCCTTTTGTGCGTCGGTGGCTTAGAGGTAGGTAGAATGCTCACCAACTACGCATGTGATCCGGGGTTCGATTCCTGGCCACCTATGCATTCCCTTACCTCGTTAAGTCGGTAAAGAGGGGGGGTTGAGCATGAGGCTAGCAACCCCATTCTGTTAAAATAATCGCCACTGCTACAGAAACTTCAAGCCTCTAGCTTGAAGCCCTATGTTCCAGTGGGAACGTGAAGGAATAAAACATAGTAACATTAGCTGAATTAGACATGATCTGCTATTCTGAATTCCTTTCATAACCAATATAACATATATAGTCGATACAATTAATAATATGTATGCATTCATATCCGATAGTAGAATAAAGCGCTCATTTCTCTTGTGTTGTTTTGTTGAGTGACTGAAGTACGCACCTGATTTATTGATTTCAATAAACAAACTTTGAATTAGGCAGCTATATCGGATTCCATCATCATCTTACCAATTCACATGAACAGTTTGATACCTTTGAAATACAGCAAACTTAACTGAACCTCAAAGATCCGTTATACCTGCATAGAGTAAAGGGCAACTGGTCATAAAAGTATCAAGAGTTTTCATCATCGTGATATTTTCAAAAGTGTGTTTAAGTCAAATCATACGGTTGCCGATGATCATAGTAATGGAAATGAAGGCTACTAACTCCCTATGGCGATACACGTTGATGATAAGGCCTAAGTGTGAATGTCTGCCTCACTTTTGTATCCAAGGTTGCAAACTAGTAGCCAAAATGTACATTATACATTCTTTAATATCAATGTACTTGAACAATTACAGACATTGAAATAATAGAGCAGATGATTTGTAGCTCAGGTGGATGATTTGCAATTAGTAGGGTTCTCTGAGCTGGTTGGTTTAGTTGCGGAGCTTCCTTCGTCCCTCCTTCTGGACAACATCCCCTTTCAGCGCAATTTTCAGCATAAAGTGAACTGATTTAAATTTTTCCCATGAGTGATAGAATTGTGTCTCCCGGTAACCATCTTTACATATGCATTAATCATTTTCTATTAC